TGCCAAAATCCACAAGATCTAATCTCCAACCAAGTCATCTGTGATTAGTGGGAAAAGGCCACAATAAGTCTAATAACAGGCGATGAGTAACAATAACGTGGCTAAATTATGTTGAAAATGGTCCATAAATTAAATTATGGACTTGAGAATGGTCCAGGACGAACCGAAACGTTGTCGTCCCTTCACCTTCTAGTGTGTGGTCTGGTCAACACAACAAGTCTAATAACAATCATGGGCACATGGATAGACCCCTAAACTGCCTCAATTTAAGGGGGCCTTCCCCCACCCAAGTCAGGTTTATTCTTGAATATGGTTTTCAGTTATATTCATTCAAATTTAAGCAGGGTTATTCAACTTAAAAAAAGTAATTTTTAATTTTTTAAGTTCTAAGATTTAAAATTACTATTACTTAGCCATTTTCTTGGTATCACTGGAAAGAACAGACAAAGTTCTATAATTTTCAATTGGGAAAATGTCAAATTGATGTTTCTTAATCAAATAATCTGGTGTTTTTATATTTTATTCCATAACATTTATCTTTCATAAAAAAAAGTTTCTCAAAATATTATCTATGAGTACTATATTGCAAAGCCCATCAGAAACCTTTAACTTTAGAATCCAGACAAATTGAAAAATTTTGTTTCTGAGATTTGAATTTTCCCTTCAAAATTGCAATGTAACCAATTCTCAACAACAACCATTTTAATGGTATAACTTCTGTTTTATATATTATATATTTATATATTATAAATATTTTGTATATACAGTACAGTACCGTATTTGCCGGCGTATAAGACGTTCTTTTTTATTTTTAAATATATAAAAAAAGCGCGCCGAGTCTAATGCGGCTGTATTACGGATGGGAGACCGAGGGAGCATTGGCTAGGGAGCCAGACGACCATACTGGGTAAGTTCGCTAGGCACAAAAATCGTTGCTAATAATAAAATATTGAAAGCATGACGAGTTACCACAGTCTGTTATCACAAACAGTTATGATACGCCAACAGTTATGAAGGAAGCTCAAATCATCTTACACAGTATACATAACCCACACCTGATATGTCATACATATCAGGTGTCATATAACGCTCAAAGCGTCATATGACAAAGAGTGCTGGGAAGATGGGACACCACGAGCGTAGCTCTCATCCTGTAACTACACTTAGGTAATTACATTATTTAATAACTGTGTTACCTTTAAGACACATTTATACATTATCTAAACAAAAAATTATCCTAGAAATTTGAAAGGAACGTTCAACTTTCATCTGCCTGTCAGCCATTTGCAATGCGTAAATGACAACACCACCTCTCTGGTGGTGTAAATGACAACACCACCAGAGAGCTGTGATGGTGTACTTCAGAGACCAGAAAGCCTCTGGATGAGTATTTGCAGGCTGTAGGTAGAAAAACCACATGAGGCAACTTACAAAATGGCAGTGACAAAATGTCAACGCTGAACACCAACAAAGGTGGCTCTGCCTACGCAGATCAACAGAAAGCCAATATCCAAAATGATGTCGATTGACAAAAAGCAATGACAAAATGGACTAACACTGGAACAGACACAAGGAACAAGCGACGATGAGGAGGAAATAAAACGAACACCACGCAACTTCACACCAATACGAAAGCCACAAATGCGTCACCAAGAGACTAGCCACTTGAGCCCTATACAGATGGTGGTATTGATGTGGTGATATGCAGACATTCTCGAACCTTCAAGGAACATTCCCGAATCAATCTTCAGAAAAAGGTCCCACACATTGAAAGTCCAGGACTCAAAAACTCAAGACATCCACCCACAGCACTGTCAAAGGAGCGAACCACGAAAGATGATGACTCCGATGAGTCTACCTTTTCCACGACCAATGAGCATGTTGCCAAGAAACTGGGCACCTTGAGTAGGAAGAGGCAAGGACCGATCCTTGGAACTCCCACCCACCCCCTAGCATTAACACATGGCCGAGAGGCTGGAAAAACAGCACCACAGCCGACAAAACAGAAGAGGGAAAAAAGTGGCGAACAACATTAGAGAGCAGGACCAAGATGTGGGTTGGGACAGCCTGCCGGCATTCCAAACTAGATGAATAGAAGTCTTAATTTGCCTTATGACCAAGACAATTGAGCAACTCATGCAAAATCTTCCTTGCTCCAACTGCAGATAAGTGATGCAATCCACAGTACAGAAGCCAGTGCATCTGGGTCACTCCGAGACTGACCAAATGCAAAACACAGTAGAAAGCTGGTGGTGAGCCCTGTAATAGTTTGTGATTGGGGAGGCACAAAGGGAAGGCAAACCCACATGGAGCTACTGAATACCCACATGCTAGAGTAGGGCCAGAGCAAGCATGCAAGAATTGAGTACTGTACTTCAAAGGACAAGCCACCCAGAAACTCTTTAAAGACTGACTCTTCTTCATGCTACTCAAGCATTCGGGTATGGCAAAAACCGTGCCAAGCCACCAGGAAAACAAAGAAAAGCTTGTCCATAAGCCATGATGAAGATGGGACCTCATACTTTAACCAAGAGTTAGAGACAGACCCAAACTCAAAGGAAAAGGGATCCATCAATGATAGAAAGATCTTGCTTTTGCAGAAGAAACCAAAGCAAATCCCTCTGCACTGCAGACAGTGACAGCCAAAATTTTTAAAATTTTTGTACAAATGACAAACCCAAGGAATCGACCGGAATCTGGAAAAACACACAGAAAGGGACTGTCAAAATATCTAACTCAAATTGTGAAGGAGGATAGGTTAAACCTTCTGCATGGAGTGATAACCCTTAGGAGACACCAAACACCACAAAGGGTTGAAGTCCACCCATGGACCCTTCTCGGACCATCCCCTCCAAGATACAAACATGGAGCAAGCTTTAGTTGACAAAATGCTCCATTTCTTTTCAAACAGTGTGGAGAGCTTCAGCACCAGGGAACCTAAGCCGGTACAGCTCTGCAAATAATGCAAATGAATCACCCTGACAAGCAAAGCCACAGCAACCTGACAAGCCATTTCCGCACATCCCAGGCATCAGGATAGAAACAATTATCCACACAACAGGTGGTATAGCAGAAGCAGAAGGGATGACCATCTGTATGCACCAAACACATACAGCATCCTGAAAAGTGACACATGGCAAGAGCAGGCTTGGGGAAAACGTCCATAACCAAATTATTCTAATGAAGCCTACACGGGATTTACAGCTCTGGCAAGGAGAAAATCTTGCCTGGAACACCAGGCATTGGTTACGCTCTCCAAATAGATCCCTAACACACTGAAAATATAGTGAGATGAATGAGGTGTTCAGCTAAGAGGACTTGCAACAAATCCTGCATCCTAAACCAAAACAAACAGCAGTCTGCCCCCACCAAAGGGCCTCACAGAGAAGTAAAAGCACTTGCACTATCCAAAAAGGAGAATCCTCAACAGGAGGCCATTTCAGACACTTGAATCTCCAAGGCCAAGAAACTCTGGGCAGGAAGTCAGTGAATGACTAGGGTAAAAAATCCCTAGCTACATACAGCCGAGGTGAACAGTTGACTCAAGGTCTACACTACTGTATGTTGTAAAAGCTTACAGGGCTCAAAACCACATTGTACTTTATAGCAGTACATCATATTGTTGTCTTTGAGCCACATATACTTGGGAAGCCTCTTCTATAAGATGATTTCAAGGTAACTTCTTTCTGGATAATGCTTTATTCGAACGTTTAAAAACCTTTTAAAAAAAAAAAAAACGAGATGGCAAATTCCTTGGCGTTCTCATCGACCACAAGCTGAATTTCCAGGGTCACATTCTAAATATATCAAAAAAAGTTTCAAAAACTGTTGGCATTCTTTCTAAGATCAGATATTATGTACCCCGCCCTGCTCTGGTTACTCTCTATTACTCCCTCATCTATCCATACCTCAACTATGGTATTTGTGCTTGGGGTTCTACTACCCAAAATCATTTACGTCCTCTCATTACCCAACACAAAGCTGCTATTAGGACAATAACCAACTCTGGCCCCAGACATCACTCGGTACCCTTACTCAAATCTCTGAATATGTTAGATATTAAGTCACTGCACATTCTCTCTTGTGTATTATACATATATAAAACGCTGAACTGTAATGCCAATCCTGACCTCAAAAGCTTCATTGAAGGTTGTAACAGAACCCATGAGCACCACACCAGGAATAAATACAGTTTTGATATTCCTAGAGTACGACTTAATCAAACTAGAAATGCTCTACAAATCAAGGGACCCAGAATGTGGAATGACCTTCCCAACCATGTTAAAGACTGTACCTCTCTCAACCAGTTTAAGATAAAAACTAAACAATACCTAATAAATTCCCTGTAACCCACCTCACTCCTTTATTGTCAACCCATGTCTGTTATTTTATTTTATTATTATTATATTTTTTTTTAATCAACACTGTTTGTCAACCTATTGTATTTGTGCTGCTTTTTCAGTCATGTTCCCCCTTTTTTTATCTTTATTTGTATTTGTTTTCAACACTTTTTATTCTTTATGCTCAATTAGTATTAAGTTCTAGATATTAATGTTTTTCTTGCCCGAAACGCATTGCGTAATAGTGGCTTTAGGCATTGTATGTACTAGCTCTATCTATATATCAATCCATTAATGTAACATCACTTGTATGTATGTACCTTACCTGAATAAACATATTTATTTATTTATTTATTTTATTTTTCTGTAATGAGTAGATTCAGGGAGATATTGTTAGCAGAATTTAAGAACATCACAGATATGTGGAAACTCGACTCTCTCAGTGGCGCCAATTCTCTCTCTCCACAATGACAAATTCCATCTTTGAATTAGAGGTTAATGACCTCTTCTTCTGTGGCATGCATCAAGCGAAGATGTGAAATAAGCATGTTTGTAGAAGCGGCCAACAATTATGTGGCGAATTCTCCATATTGTAGTAATAAATCTGACCTTGCCTGGAATCCCTCAGACTTGGTAGTGAACTAAAACTCTGAGATTGTCTAGATCTTGGTAGTCTTTAAGAATAGGCTTGTAGATGGTATGGCTACTAGTATTCTGGAAAGCAGGTAAGCATTTCCACAGTAGTGGAGTCTATGTTCCTTTAACAAAATGTCTTGTTCAGTCTTAATAAAGTCATCTTCATCTTCAGTGATGAAAGTCACTGCCCAATCTTGTAGGCTAGTGATCGCAACAATAAGCACGGTAAGCAGGGCTACATGATCAACAAAATGCTGAACAGCAACACTTTGCAATTTAGGTGTCTCTATGAACCTCTTCCATTAAGTCCTGAATAAAGGATCTGTCAAAATCAGCATCAAAGGCAACATTGTGATCTAAATTATACAGTACTAACCAAGAGCTTTTGATATTATATTTTTCAGGGTCTTGGTTCGTACAATTATGGTGTTCAACTCGGGTAATAGGGTAGCAAATGTTTCGTCACCGTATCTCGCATTCAATGAGATTAGTTCCTTATTGATATTATGTGTACCAGGGGAAACTGAAGGCTTTCTTAGGAAAGGTGCATGCTGCAAATAACCATCTCCTATTTTTTGTCAGCTGTGTTTTTCTTGGCGTGTTTAGATGACTTTATGATTCCTGCCCTCTCAGCCCAAGAATGGGCAGCTCTGGGTATCTGTTTCTCTGAAGAGTCAGGCATAAACACATTGATCTGTAAAGGTGACCAAGGAGAAATGGAGAGCTCAGGTTCGCCAGGTGTAAGATGTGCATCGAGTAATTCTGACATAAGACGGCACCGCTGAAAACCAATCTTAGCAGTTATATGTATGAGAAAATGATGTCCAACCACTTGGGCTTTACGGTAGCACGACCGTATCTCTTCCTGCAGGTCAGCATTCAATCACCAGTTCCCTTCCCTCAAGGTCCACACAAGAAATGAGGCACACAGACATCTCATTGAATCTGCATATTAATCTGAACAGTTGTGATAACATGCTCCTACAGGACAAGTCCAAAAGAATTGTCAACACTTGCCTGAAAAACAGAACTAGGAAGGGCTAGTGGGTTGATATAGAATTCCTAGACTTCTTATGCATTTATTGAGGGGGACCAGATTCTGCTTCTGGTCAGTGGTAGGCTTTTATGACCTGGTTCCACACTAAACATGGGGAGCTAACCATGTGGTTTGCTTCCAGGAGAGGGGTCATACCTGAAAGAATGGTTAGAAAAAAGATTTGTATATATTAATGATTGAATGATGCAGCAATATACCATTGAATTGGGAAATTAAAGGTAGCAGACACTGCATTACAGCATCGGGATGAAAATGTGTCCATTACACAACATGTGGTTGCAGATGCTCGTGTTTTGCCACAGAATCGGGAAGCTCCAAGTCACTACAGATATGCATGGGTTTCTTCATATGCAACCCGTTTGCTCCGAGATCACGCTGGACACACTTTTCCTCGTACTGCATTCAGATGACTCCAACTGACCTGAAGAAAGTTTTCTACCTTATTAAAATTGTATTAACAGTTATTCTACATACTGTATATTGTAAATGAAGGACCCAACAAGGAAAAAGATATCCAAACTTCCAAAGTAATTCATACATCTATAGAATTAAAGAAACTTGGTAAAATCAACTAGAATACATTTCCATCAGATGTAAATAAGGTAGAAACAGCACAGGGAAAGCATATACTGTAATTAATGTTATGTATGATGCCCTGCATCTGCATCAGTTGTTTGTAACTTGTTTAAATGATTTGTTTAATGTTTAAATGAAATATTTAAACTTGTTTGTGATTTGTTTAAATGAAAGCTATAGAAAATAAACAAATGGACTACATAATACAATATATTGTAATATAAAACATTTTCTCTATAAAAAGAGAATAATGCAAGTGCCCGAGGCTGGAGGCCAGACAGTTGTGGTTAGCCTCATGCAAATTTCCACGGTAAATTGTGATTGTATGGCAAATGTAATAAGGAAGAGAGTCGGGGTCAAACCCCAGGCCTATCTAAGCAGGAATGGCTCCTATTGCATTAACCAATAATTCCTATAAAGTAAAACTTTATAGGAATTAATTACCCGGACCCTTACGTATGCATGCACAAACACGTAAAGACAGGCAACCAAATGGCTTCCGGAACTGAGAAGTAGGAGCTACAAGGAGGGATTAGCAGTGTTGAATGTAACAAAGCTAGACGACAAAAGAAAAAAAAAAAAAGAGCCAATTTACCCGAGGGTCACTAACACTAGTGGCCTCGACGAGGATAGGAAGCCGGCAGTTGTTGAAGATCCCTCTATTTGCCTTGATCTTTTCCAGCTGGATTTAAAAATGTAACAGAGTTTTGGCCTTTATGGCTTTGGCAGGTAGATGGTTCCATGGGTTTATAGCCCTATACGTGAAAAACCACCTTCTGAACAAATCTGAAAAGAGAACACTGAACAAACACTGAAAAGAAAAAACACTGCTGAAAAGAGCACCTTCTGGTCTCAGTCCTACATTGTGGTTTGTTTTGCTTGGAACTGTTGATCCCTGTTTGTGTAACATCAGACATTGTGGTTTGTTTTGCTTGAAACTGTTGATCCCTGTTTGTGTAACATCAGACATTGTGGTTTGTTTTGCTTGAAACTGTTGATTCCTGTTTGTGTAACATTAGACATTGTGGCTTGTTTTGCTTGAAACCATTGATCCCTGTTTGTGTTACATCAGACCATTTGAAGAAAATGTCCAGATCAACATCCTCCAAATTGTTCAGTATTTTAAAAGTTTCAATAATATCCACTTTGTCATGCTTGGTTTGTACTGTTGTTAGCCCAGTGGCCCTCAACCGTTCCTGATACGTGAGTTGACTTGGCTCTGGAATGATTTTTGTTGCTCAGTGTTGCACTTTCTCCAAAGCAGATATGTCCTTCTGAAGATGAGGTCTCATGCTTGGATTCAGCACTCCAAATGTGAGCACACTAGAGATTTATACAATTGAATCACTACCTTCCTTTTCCTTGAGTCAAAGGTACGCTTGATTATTCAAAGTGTTTGGGTAGCTTTTTTTACTGTTGCAACTTTCTGCGAGTGGTGGATTTTCACTCCAAAGTTCTTTTCTTCATCAATCTGCTGCAATGTAATAATATTAATTTGGTAGTTGTGGCATGTGGAGCATAGCAACACATGCAAGGTCTTGCATTTATCAATATTAAAAAGCATTTGCATGTAGATCTCTTTGTCAGGCTTCAATATCATTTAATCATTTTTAATTTAAAAAAAATCTCTCTTTCATCTTCAAATTTGATGATGTGATTTGTAATATTCTCATCTATGTCACTGATGTATGTAACAAAAAAGGTTTGGCTCTAAAGTGAACCCCTGTGGTACCCAACTTACCACATTTCTTCAGCCAGATTCAATCCCATTTAGCACAACCCTTTGTTTTCAATGTTTTAACCATTGTTTTATCCAGTCCAGTAATCTACCATTTATTCCATGTGCCTGTAACTTCCTTGCCAGTCTTTCATGTGGTACCATATCAAAGATGTTAGCAAAATCCATGTATTCTACATCAACTGGAAGTCCTTTGAGTAGCTGGTTACCATTTCCAAAAATGTGAGCAAGTTAGTAAGGCAGGATCTTTTTTAACAAACCCCTGTTGTGTTGATTTTACAAGATTGTTCACTGAAGGATGGTGAATGATTTCCTCTCTTAGGATTCTCTCAGGATAGATACCACTACGATTTTCTCTACGATAGATACCTTAGGATAAGATAACTAAGTGCAAAATATTAACAGGTAGTGACAAAATTAAGAAGAATTTTTGAAAATGGCAACTTCAAGAACAACTGGACACAGATTCAAACTAAGGAAACAAATCTGCCAAAACAAAATTGGAATGTTCACTTTTGCAAACAGTGGTAGATAGTTGGAACAAGTTAGTAGTTCCTGTGGCACATACCATACCTATGTATGGTAGAGCTAAAATGAAGAGCTTAAACAAAATACAGGGTACAAGACATAAGCAGATCTACTCATAGCAGGAACAACAACATGTAAAAGATCTGGGGAAACTGATGTCAGCTGACCAGACATTTAGTGAGTATAAAGAATCAGTCAGGAAAATAATTTGGATGAATTATGAGAACGTTCAACTCCAGGGATGCCACAGCAATGCTCCTAATAATAAAATAATGGACACAAGATAAGAAAAGGAATAATCCAGCTCCGAGAATCTTTAAGAATAGCAAAGTGAAAGAAGACTTATTGTTCAGCTCCAGATTTCTTGGCCAGTTCTGGGGCTCTCAATATATGAAATGGACCATGCACAAGATATAATACATTTGAATATGACTGTTACAACTGTCAGTGAGAAGTGCATAGATTTTGCCCCTAATGTTAAACACTGACTCTGACCCCCCCTTCCCCTCTGCCTGCATTACATCAGCCATCAGGCCCCGAATGTATGTTGTAGCAAACTACTCCAGACAGTGCAAAGAAGCCTAGTCAAGCAGACATACTTTTGGTGTACTTTAACAAATACTTGTCAACCTAAGAGACAAAAGTATGGGCAAGGCCAGGCCTTAGCAAACAAATTCAGACCTGAAAAAATCATAAATAACATTGTAAAGTGTGACCTTGGTTTAACAATGATCCAAACCCCAACACAAATGTAACATGGTGACCAAATCTACACAAATTATGCATGTCCAACACAAATAAACAAACCCATGATGACATCTCAAGAACCCTTAAGTACTTAATGTAAAATTCAACAGGAGACTATCCAGACACTAACTGAAAATGTAACTCTAGAATTTCAGTCAATTTCAGTCAATTACAGTGTCCAGAGACTTGCAACAACTGTGTATATAAGTTATGCATGTTAATCTCGTCCATTAACAGCACAAACCCACTTACCAATGAAACAAGTTTCTAAGGATAGAACATAAGTCACATTAATTGTTTAATTTCCACTAACCTGAAGTGCATTTGGAAAAACAGGAAATTTGTGAGCTGTGTTGTCACGACAGCCTTGGGGCTACTTTAAGTGTTCTTCAGTTTGTTTCTTGTACCAGTATAACTCATCAGGGATGTTTAAAAGTACAGATATCTGTTGCTCCGGTACAGATTATCGTCTTGCTCTGATGAAGTATAGTTCTCTTTCTTTGAGGAGCAGATTCTAGCCTAAGGGAGAAAACAAACACAACAGTTAATAAATTTAAATCAATTAGTAGCACCATTTAAAATATCTTTTCCTTCGTGCAGCTGGTTAAATTGAGCTTGCAATGCACTAGCTTAAGCAGCAAATTGGTTAACCATATTAATGCTCTGCAACTGTTGTTTCAACTTACCAAATTCTTGATGTATCTGGCATTCTGCCTACCCTTCTCAGTACTGTATTGCCCCCAGTATCTATGAAATGAGTATTGTCAAATGTTTAGATTAACTTTAAGACAAAATTTCCAAGTAAATACTATTGACAGTCCAGCAATTTAAGACATTTTAATTTTTTTAAAAGGAAATACAAGATCACTAGAGCCAGATGTATATTATTCCTAGCCTGCACAATTAAGTACTGTACAGTACATATTTAGATAATGAAATGGTTACATAGTACAAATATCTACATTTCTCCAAATTAAAATAATATTGGTGCCATTTTTTAAGTACAGGAACATTACCTTATAAAAATGTAACATTATCTGGGGTTTGAAACTTTCAGAAGAGATGAGAAACCATGAGGAGATTGGAGGATATTAGGAATAGGTAACTTGGAAAGTTAACTAGATGTGGTTTAATTGTATGACAGCAATTTAAGAATTTACCCTGTTAAAAAATATTTTTAAAATAATTACGAAACATTTATAGAAATACAAATTATAATAGATCCTACAATTCCAATGATTATAAATATGAAGCTGTAATTAACTTACCTCCACTGTACAGGTGAAAACTATACACTGGCTTACTCTTCGATGATGTACAGGTTCGGGCAACTTCAGTCCCTCTCACTGTGGGGCTGTTGCCTGTTGTTGAAATTTGAGCACTCTCCTTTACGAACATTGTGCCTGCTTTCCTCACAGCTGAAATATGAAAAGGAGAGGGCTACAGTAGCAATGGGGACCTTCATAGGAATGCTGCATTATATACTTTAATAATAATAATAATTCATCAAATAGGGTGACAGGAAGCCAGAGTGTATTCATACACGTTAGGCTTATATCGAGGTCCTTCCCCCCCCAGGTAGAATTACTGACAACAACTAGGATATAACCCCACAACAAGCTGACTAACTCATGAATACCTACTTACTGCTACGTGAACAGAGGCATTAGCTGAAATTAAATGTGCCCAACCATTTCTCTTCCGTCTAGGATTTAAACCACGAGTTCATCGATTGTGGGTTGAGAATGAACCCTATTGTATTACCTGGACCCAAAATATATGTCAGAAGGGCAATCATAACTTTGTCCTTTTGACAAGCCGACATCTTCCTGTCCTCGTCGAGACCACTACTAATAGTGGCCCTTCAGGTAAATTCAGGTAAATAACTGTCTTATTCTGTGCCCAGCACCCAGCATCCTATAAGCAAATAGATAAATTCAAGCCAATAAGTCACATCATACACAGCACGATTCACCAGTAGATTTTAAAACCTATCTAACCTAACCTAACCTAACCTAACATAATGAATCCAAACTTAACATACACAATTTTAACAATCAGAAAACAAGCCTGGGTTGAAAACAAGCGTTGTCAAAATACACACAAACAATTTGACAATAATCTAACCTCACTGAATCTAACCTAACCTAACACAGCCTAATCCAACAATATACAGTACAGGTATACAGTTTTGACAATTGGATAACACACTGCCAAAGAGCCTGTAAACAATTTGATCTTAACCCATTCAAACACGCCAGGTGCTCGTAGACCTCTCCAATATAAACATTTATAACAAAAATGTATAACACACAGAACATTAGCACACAGAACACATAATAGCATTAGCCACAAATGACCTGTTGCCCCAGTACCGACATTATCCAATAAACTTCCCCCCTCTTCAATATCAAAAACTTAAATAATCAAGACATCGTCATCTTGGCCTACAATTAACAAACCCCCACATTGTTAGGAAATCAATTTGTCATATATAGATACTGTTCTTAAAAGGATTTCCCCCATTTCACACCCGCAAGATAATGTAAATGTTTAGTGGTTGGTAAATGTTACTCTTCTTGTTTGGGAAGCTGTTCTCTTGAGACGGTTAAGCAAATCAAGGCTGTGTCTGGGTACAAGTGACAGGATGAACAACCCAGCCGGTTTTCTTCCTATTGGGGAGTGTTGTAGTGTTCACTCACAAGATGAGTGATGCTGCCCAGTACCGTCACTATGGCGGAGTGTTCACTCACAAGATGAGTGATGCTGCCCAGTACCGTCACTATGGCGGTGTGTTCACTCACAAGATGAGTGATGCTGCCCAGTACCGTCACTATGGCGGTGTGTTCACTCACAAGATAAGTGAAGCTGCCCAATACCGTTACTATGGTGGTGTGTCCACTCACAGAAATTGTTTCAATGTCAGAGTAGTTAACAAATGGAATGTACTAAGCATTGATATGGTGGAGGCAGACTCTATACAGTTTCAAATGTAGATATGATAGAGCCCAATAGGCTCCAGAATCTGCACACAATTTGATTGAAAGTTGAGAGGCGGGACCAAAGAGCCAAAGCACAACCCCCCAAGCACAACTAGGTGTGTCTTGGTCTATACATTACATATTACTTGGTCATATATATATATTACAATGTCTTTGGCTCATAAACCAAAGACATTGTCTTGTAAGAAGCTGTAGGAAAGGTCACATATAGCTACACCACGTAAGTTATAGCAGCGAGGCGGAGCCCAAGAATAGGAACTCAACTCCACAGACAAAATTAAGCACATGTACATATTAGAAAGCATAGATAATATTTATATATAAACATATTCATAAACACAAAAATTATATAATTCATTTGAAGTCTTGCACATTACAGGATATCCGGCTGAGTCGTCTCTAAATTGAGGTTTTAAGCTGAAAGGAGAGAAAAAATGGGTTATATTATGATTGCAATTTTGTTTACAAAACTTATTCATGCAACATTCCAAATTATAGCATCTATTTAGATTAAAAATATTTATTATTATTATAATCTTTATTTGGACAATTATTATTTTCATATATCATTGATCATTGCTGTCTTATATGTGCTGTCAATCTGCTGTATGGTGTCTATTAATCTTGTTTAAATTACTAATCAAGCTGTCAATGTAATCAATCAGAGCTTTAATATAACAATGTGCTTTAATATACTTACTAAGCTCTCTCATCTCATTTTTCTCTTGCAATGTATCTTTATCATTTATCAATTCTGATAGAAATTACCTACTTAAAATTATCTGCTAGATTAAGGACCTGCCCGAAACGCTGCGCGTACTAGTGGCTTTACAAGAATGTAAATACTGTACTATCCAATGTATTCTCACAAACCCAATGGTATATCTTGTATATATATAAATAAATAAATAAATAAATAAATAAATATACATCATTTATTTTATTCTTTTAAGGTTAAACTTCGTGTTCTCAGTAGTATTGTGTTAATTGTTATCGAAGCTACAAGTCCACACATTTTGGGCTCACCATAACCCGTGCTGCTTGGAACATTTGTTCTGAGCAGCTGAATCTAAAATAACAACAACATATATATTACAAACGATACTGCTGCTGTTAGTGATTCGATAAAAGTGTACATACTGCCACACACACACTAACCACTACCTGCCTCACACTAGGGCTAGGGTCTGGTAGCTAAGTGGACAGCAGGCGGGACAGGAATCCTGTGACCTGGGTTCGATTCCCGGCGCCGGCAAAGACAAATGGGCAGAGTTTCTTTCACCCTGATGCCCCTGTTACCTAACAGTAAATAGGTAATTGGGAGTTAGACAGCTGTACGGGCCGCTTCCTGTGTGTGTGTGTGCGTGAAAAAAATTGTAGTTATTAACAGTTGATTGCTTGACAGTTGAGAGGCAGGCCGAAAGAGCAGAGCTCAACCCCCGCAAGCACAACTAGGTGAACACACTGACCAAGGGGGTAGAAATAGCCTAAGCTACTCTATCCCTTTGAGATGTATTTCTTGCTTATCTCAATAAACATACTTGAACTTAAACACACTGATCACCACCTGCCTCACACTGAACACAATACTCAGGAGATTGATTAACTTTTAGGCATAAATATTCAAGCATTTATTCATATTCATTATGAGGTTATGAAGCGAGGGTGTAGGCTAAAAGAAAAAAAAAGAGACAAAAAGGAAAAACCTGAATTGATCCTTCGCTAAACCTTCAATATCTTGTCTGCCTTGCAGCGATACCATGCAACAAAATCTCCACTGATATATTGTTGTTTCCAGAGAGACAACAATACAAGAAATGTTCTATAAATACAGACATTTGAAGATGTGTGAACTTAATAAATTATATCCTGGTTTAGTGGTAAATGATATCGTTCAAGATACTGTAAAAACTTCGCCCAATGAACTGCTGAATAACGTGTATAAGTATATCACAAGCTTCATTACTTAGTACAACAACGAGACGACCGACTTTGCAATTACATTATTCACTCTCGTGTTCTTGAAGATATCCTCATAATGCACCCAGAGTTTGCCAGTGCTGGCTACTGATCACATGACTTTTTTTTCATTTTTTTCTAATTTTTTCTCAACACAATTTATACTTTAATCTCAATTAGTATTAAGTTTTAGTTTTAGTGTTTTTCCTGCCCGAAACGCTTTGCGTAATAGTGGCTTTAGGCATTGTATGTACTAGCTCTATCTATAAATCCATCAACTTTTGTATTTCACCTTGTATGTATGTAAGTACTTTACCTGAATAAATATTTGTATTTGTATGACTAACCATCCTGCGAGATGGGGACTTTTAGCATCACTGCTGCCTTATTCAAGAACTCTTGTTGCTGCACAAATGCAGATGTACATAAATGTGTTAATAACAAAAAAAGATTGCTGTCTGAAAATATTTGGGAATGGAACTATCAGGAGAAAGCGTCAAGCCATTGCGACTATATAGCACTTGGAAGAGATCAGGATTTGGGATGGGACGGGGAAATCCCAGGAGGGGGGGGATGGTGCCCAACCACCTGGAAGGTCGGGGATTGAACTTCGACCTACATGAAGCGAGACAGTCGCTCTACCGTCCAGTTTAAGATTGATTTGATTGATTGATAAAGATTAAGCCACCCAAAAAGGTGGCACGGGCATGAATAGCCCGTAAGTGGTGGTTCTTTTGAGCCATTACCAGTATCATTAGCTGATACTGGAGATCTGTGGAGGGGCGACTGCACCCTGCGTGACGGGAGATGTCTCCACCGTCGTCCAGTTCAAGTGGTTGGGCAAAATATATTAGGGAAGAAACTGGAGACCTTACCCTCAGCTGGACTATCAAGGCATCTTGGCGGACATGCCAGGAGCGAATATAGGGCACTTGGGATGAATAAAAAGCACCCTTCTGCTACCATCAGGAAGCGACTGTCGCCACCAAAATAAAATCAAGTTTACGGGGACCAAAATACACATACTCGATGGCTATTTACATACACCATACTCCTTAATCTTGACAGTCTTGCACCTTGATGTCTTCAGTCTACACTGCATGCACTCACACACACACAGTCTCTCTCGTTGTATATACATACATATATATATATATATATATATATATATATATATATATATATATATATATATATATATATATATATATATATATATATATCACTTAGGATATCAAAGAGTGTATGTATTATTATCGTCGTTTGCAACACCTGCAGGTTACCAATGGCCAATTTATTAATAAAAACTAAAAAAAAATGTTTATGGGAACTAGAAATTCCTTTGCGAACAGGTGTATTGAGGCAGATGTTATCAGTCTCATGTTCTGTGTTTACGTCTCGGTCGGTGGTGGCGTACATGCCCAGTGAGTCACCCACCCTTACCGTGGCCCATCTTCCCTCACCCCTGGCCTACATGGCCTCTCTCTGGCCCACATGGCCTCTCCCTGGCCCATCTTCCCTCACCCCTGGCCCACATGGCCTCTCCCTGGCCCATCTTCCCTCACCCCTGGCCCACATGGCCTCTCCCTGGCCCATCTTCCCTCACCCGTGGCCCACTTGGCCTCTCCCTGGCCCATCTTCCCTCACCCCTGGCCCACATGGCCTCTCCCTGGCCCATCTTCCCTCACCCCTGGCCCACTTGGCCTCTCCCTGGCCCATCTTCCCTCACCCCTGGCCCACATGGCCTCTCCCTGGCCCATCTTCCCTCACGCCTGGCCCACATGGCCTCTCCCTGGCCCATCTTCCCTCACCCCTGGCCCACATGGCCTCTCCCTGGCCCATCTTCCCTCACGCCTGGCCCACATGGCCTCTCCCTGGCCCATCTTCCCTCACCCCTGGCCCACATGGCCTCCCCCTGGCCCATCTTCCCTTACCCTGGTCCACATTAGCCTCAGCCTGGCCAACATGGTCTCTCCCTGGCCCATCTTCCCTCACCCCTGGCCTACATGGCCTCAGCCCTTGCAACAGAGAGAAGAACACATGGAAATAGTGGGGTAGATCAGCTTAACGATGAAACAGAGAGTACTACAGAGGCGGGGATGGCAGGGCCGCCCAGCCTGGCGAGGCATCTACACAAACGAATGGGCAAGAGTGACTGGTTCACCATATCCCACTCAACTTATCAGATACGGAAATGTACCCACAAGAACAATTACTCCTCGGGGGGAAACAAAACGTAGGCAGACCCTCACCCAGACCTGCCTTTCATCACTCTAGCTCACCCTGGCCTGCTTTCCATCTTCCCTCATCAGGGCCTTCCTTCCATCTCCCTGGTCCGCCTTCTTTCACCCTGGCCCACCTCCCATCCCGATGGGCCATCGTCCTACTGCAAATTCCTGCAGTGTTTACACCGTGAAATGTAAACGACGAACTTTTGTTTATGCAGCTTCTCTTGTTCTCAGTAAAGCTTGCTCGAGGGTTACTTGCAGAGCCCACCCCACCGTCCTCCTCCACTACCCTCCCTCCCTGCACCCATTACTGCCCCCACACCCCCACCTGAGGTTTGCAACACAATCAGAACGTGAATTAGGAGAACTACATACAAAGTCACTACCTTCAGATAATGAGGGGAAGAGATAAGGTGTACAAGGACACCTTCTTTAAATTGAAATTAGGACAAGGTAGAAATGTAAATGAGTCGAAGAAATGTGAGGAAATACTCGTACTCAGTACGGGCCAGCAAGTGGAATACAGTGAAAGAAGTCGTGGAAGCGACCTCCATCTACAACGTTCAGGTCAGGTATGGTAAACTACTGGAAAGTCAAGAAGGTTATAATAATATGCACTAGTTATCAGAATGACAGTTTGCGAAGCATATATAATGTACCTACTAATATTCGTCACATTTTCTTACAATGTACCTGTTAACATTTCTCAATTTTGCTAGAAATTAGCTACTTACATTTATCTGTTAGATTAGGACCTGCGCGAAACGCTATGCGTGTTAGTGGCTTTTCAAGAATGTAAAAATAATCAATGCTATGTACTCTCATAAACCCTATGTCCCTTCTTGTATATAAATAAATAAATAAAGACTTGGACCTGACTCTCCCAATAGTTATTGTTATGTAGCCACTATGTTGGGTAAGCACCACCCCCACCATCACAACACCACCCCCCACCACCATCACAACACCACCACCACCCCCACCACCATCACAACACCACCACCACCCCCACCACCATCACAACACCACCACCACCCCCACCATCACAACACCACCCCCTCCATCACAACAACACCACCACCCCCACCATCACAACACCCCCACCATCACACCACCACCCCCACCAACCAACCGTGGGCGCCCCACCCCCGGGCCACCCCCACCACCACCAGACCTCTGCCCACTATTATAATCTCCCAAGGGTGCCGTATCGGGCCTGATCCTTACCAGAGGTGAAGACCAACATGAACTAAATACTTCGTCTGGATTAACCTATGTAGGGCAATTAGATAAATATTATTATTAAGTATATGAATATAAATAATCATGGACAAAATATTTAAGTTGAAATTGGTTTGGTGTTGGGTTTAAGGCCTTTCACCCGCTGGAGGATTATTAAGCAACCCGTCCTCCTAGTGGAACGTCGCATTTTGACGTACACTCCACCTAAGGCCAAAAATTGTCGTACTAGAAAATGGAAGCAGCTCACGAAATTGACATACTGTTCCGTTTTCTTGTTTTGGTCCTCTGGTAGGTTAGGATAATGGCACTTTAGCACTTTAATACTTTACTGTGAACATTGTCAAGGACTAAAGTAAACTCAGTGTATATACATCGAGAACCAGAGCACACTTGACTCCAGGTCTTTAAAGTATGATAATAATACTCACATACAGAAGAAATAGACGTAAACATAATGCGTTTTGTCGGGGACAGGAAGCCTGCTTGCATATACTTTAGACTTGTAACGAGATCCTCCCAAGGTCGATCTACTGACCTTCCCCAGGATGCAACCTACCAATAGTTGCTAACTCTAGGGTGCCTCTTTACTCCTAGTTGAACAGAACAATTAGGTGAAAGGAAACGTCACGAAACTGTCGGACTAAAGAGTTTTATTCTAACCTACAAGAAGACCCACCAACAGAAAACGGGACATTATGTAAATTTTTTTCACGAGCCGCTACCATTTTCTCGAATGACAGTTTTTGGCCTGAAGACGTAAAGTATAAGTCAAAATGTGACGATTAGGAGGACGGGTTGAATCCTTATTGTCCCGCCCGGGAATCTAACCCGGGATCCCTGATCCATGAGTTGAAAATGGAGCTAATTGTCCCATGAGACCCGAAGCTGTACAGCGTCGAAGTTTATGCTTGTGCATGACCTATTTACTGAGTAAATAAAGATGATTCATGCAAGGGAAGATGTATCAGCATTGCCCGAAACGTTATGCGTGCTAGTGGCTTCACAAAAATGTGAGAACTCTTTTTAATATACAAATAAAAGCAAAATGCTACACTGAGATTCATGACTCTTAGTCAGCTGGAGACAGACAACTGAATGTGCAGCACGGGCTTTCGAGTTGCCTCAACGGACAGAAACTACTAAAAAGCTCCAACCTATACTAACCTAACCTGTCGACCACGCATCGAAAACAAGAATGTTTGTGAACTACTGTGATTTATAGCACCCCTCTATTTGGCCGTTCGGAATTTTGACGTCAAACTGCGATGTATTGTGCGAGCGAGTCTGTCCTCTTAAGATTTCCCAACGTCAAGAAACTGTCGTACTAAAGTGCCCTTATCCTAGCCTACCAGAGGACCCAAAACAGAAAACGGGACAGTATGTCAATTTCGTCAGCCGCTCCCATTTTCTAGTACGACAATTTTTGGCCTTAGGTTAAGTGTATGTCAAAATGCGACGCTCTATTAGGAGGGCGGGTTGCGAGAGGACAGGTTGGAATGCGAGCGAATACCAAGAAGATATGAACATTTCCAGGCAAGGCGGAAAAAATGAAACAGTATGAAGGGGTGACTCGCCTACACAGCTCTGGCGAGGCGCAACGGGTGCCGGCAGCCATGACCTTAATATTCCTTCGTGGTCCCAACGGTCAGGGACGCTCTTCTGGGAACCTCGTGACGTCTATGTTGAGCTTCTGCAGAAATCCTTCTTTGGTTACACATCTTATATAATATCTTCAATGAATCGCTTGTAACAAATTATGATGAAAGAAGATGACACACGGCGGATCGTTACTGTACCTCATGGATAGAGGCTTAAATTGTCAAGGTTAATTTTGTCCTTCGAGTTCCTGGCTATGTTATCAGTGACTGTAGTGACGGTGTGGAGTATAAAGTTCGTCTGTATAAGGATACAGGTCAAAGCAGGTCACAGTACACAGCGGGCGAGAGCAGAGGGGTGAAAGGCTCCCCGGAGACTGTATACACTGTTACCCCAGGATCTGGCAAGCTTGCGGGGCGGCGCGAGAGGCACAGCAAAATCTCAATCTCAATCTCAATCTCAATCTCTGTCTCTCTCTCTCTCTCTCTCTCTCTCTCTCTCTCTCTCTCTCTCTCTCTCTCTCTCTCTCTCTCTCTCTCTCTCTCTCTCTCTCTCTCTCTCTCTCGCCCATTCTCCTTCCTATTCTCCTTTCTTCCAGCCCAGTCTTCCTTCCTCCCAACCTTACAATCTCCCGCCCTCCCTCCGTCTCTCTCTCCCAGTGGGAAAAACATGTTTGAGTAATGTTGAATCAGCATTATCGATGTTTAACAACATTATCGCCGTTGAATCAACGTTATCGACGTTCATTCAACGTCAATAACAGAGGAGAAATAGGTTTGAAAGCACTCTATTGGATTGGACGGCAGAGCGATGGTCTAGCGTCTTGCAGGTCAGCGTTCAATCCCTGACTGTCCAAGCGGTTGGGCACCATTCCTTCATTCGCCCTATCCCCAGTCCTTATCTTCATTCCTTTCAAGCTCTATATATAGTCATAATGACCTTATTCCTGACATTACTTTTGTACCTACCTCTATGGACAATCAAACCCACATTTCAGGCTTGCATTTAATTTTGACAAGGCATATTAGATTATATTTGGATTCAGAAGCCTACAACAGGTCTGCAGGCGGAGTCTTGATTACCAGAAGGTCTGAAGTGATACAGATTTCCCTTACGATAATATCTTACGACTTTCAGTGGTAGTTTGTCCTTTGGTGTCTAACCTCTGATAAGGTCTGGACGACCTCTGGTATTGTCTTAAATTTTACAACGATATCGTGCTGTCATTTTGTACCTGAGAGCTGTACACGCCTCCCTCCCCCCCCCCCTCCTAGCATGGCAGTAGCATTTGTTATATTCGTATGCGATAATAAAAAATAATATAATACGATAATAAAATAATAATAAAATAATAATCATCATTGTCTAATTTTGTATTATCATATTGTAAAACGGAATTGAACAGTAATAAATATTATAAACGATGAATCAGACGCATTAGAAAGAAGATATAAATACCGTAATCACTATTGGTAATGTTTAACCACACAAAGTTCTCAGTAAGTGTAGCTGAACTGACAGTTAATATCAAATAATCACATAGTTTTCAAATATTTATTAATAAATTTGCAAGCGAAATAAGATGCAGTTAAATATAACTATAGTGCACAGATTTTAATATTAAAGATTACAAAATAATTTAAATAAGTGACTTGTGACAAAATATGCTCTATATATATTGACGTTTAAATGTTTTTTTTTAACTTTGTATTCAAACTGTGTTTAACGCAGCCATTATAGAATTAAATTCTAATAATAATAAAAAAAATTAATTCTCCTGGGCTCTTAGGAGACTCGAACCCCGGACCCCACACATGTGAGGCAGACATTCTATCCACTCAGCTGTAAGTAACCTTAATAAGGAAAGATTCCAGAAGCAGCCACTGCTGCTATGCTGAAATTTTCCACTTTCCTCGACTACTACTGAAGCTCAGAGGAATTAGTGCTCCACACCCTCGTCATATAAATTGTCATCCACACTTCCGTGAAAATAAACATTTCAATCACCTGGGCCCGTGAATGTTCGAGTCTCCTAGAGCTCAGGTGAAAGAAATGTTTATTTCCACGGAAATGTGGATGACAATTAATAATAGTAATAATAATAAGAGCATCCGAACGCAGCTAAAATCTAAGTTACATATTGCAGCAAAATGATGCACAGTGGTCATAATGCAGCAGCTGCAACACCAGTATTTACGGAATGGCACAAGAATTCGACCAATTAATAAAACAGGTGCACACGCGCCGCAGCAGCCATGAATACCCATGTGCATGGGAGTAGGCTTGCAAGAGACAAAAGAAGAGAAGAACTATCGGTATTGCCATGAAATGCCCAACAAACCTTTCGAACATCATCAATACATAATGAAAATAGCTACTGAGATTTAACAACCCAGATATAGCAAGATACATTGAAAATAACCATACAGAAACCACCATATAAATTACAACCAGTTGACAAACTAAACAATGACTAAAAGAAGACTGAAGCAGTATCGAGGAGACATGTATTGCACAAGATGGCGTTTGTGGCGGTGAGAGGCCAAGGTAAGCCTGTGTGTGTGTGAGTGTCCTGGGGGCGCTGGCGGAGGTGTGGGCGTGATGGGGGGCGACGGTGTAGCGGCGCTGGTGTGGGCAGCCAGACACCGATAGTTGCACGTGTGAGTGTGTCGAGGAAGGGTGGAAAAACTACACAGCTGACCAAGTGGTGGTGGTCGACGTACCAGGCAGGGGTTGTCAAGACGGTCGCTCGGTGCTCACATGCCCTGTCTCCACTCCCAAGGTAAGACCCGGTCACCAGACCCTACTGAACGTTTTAGCTAAAATAAAACGAGAATGCCTTCGTATCCATAGAGACACGTGCCTTCTAGATACTATTGTCACTACACAGATTTTAGATAACTATACATACCCTCCCGTTTAAAAATATACGTATTTAACTCTGACGCTCGATTGGTAATAATAAATATTTGATTTTTGTTTTGTTTACTCAAGGTTTTTATAAAGCTTACATTGTTGGCGTGTATTCTGGCATGTTGGCATTGGCATGTATCTTATTATGATGAACAGACTGTGAAAGTGGCCTTTAAGATAGTGTTAAACATACAGTGCAATCTCCCGTCCGCCTCCAGAGAGTGTTTAGCGAGGTGGCGTTCATGATGCTATCGCAGCCGATATCGTTCGTTCACGTGACGATTGTCATAACATTAAATTTGAATTTCATTTTTATTTGGGACCACTTATACCCATCGTGTAGGGGGACGATAGAAAGGTTACAGTCAAACAATAGGTTCAGGTGAGTTGTTTTCATACAGTTTTCGATATGCTATTATGATTCTGAAGCAATCCAGTGGGCGGCGGTGGAAAGGTTAGTCACGTGCGCGCACTGCCTACTGCAGGCAAACTTGGCAGTTATAGGGTTATCTCTAAAATTTAATGATAACATCTATATACCTTGGCCTGTTTTCTGGATTAGTGGTGGTGGGCAGGGTCAACTGAAGCCGTTTATGATAGCATTCTGATATATTTAAATCTCTTGATATATGCGTTGTATGAACATATACACTCTTAAACTCGAGTATTTTTGTGATTTAGGAAAGGGGGAACAATTTCTAGCGAGCTATGTAGCAACATCCAAACAATTCGAGACTTCGGCTTAAACACATTTATGGCTAAAACATGCGTCAGTCCTGCCTTAAACGTGTATCAGTCATATAAAAAAAACGCATTAGTCATGCCCAAAACAAGGCATCAATAATGCCAAAAACACACTTCAGTTATCCCCAAATGTGCGTCATTGCTGCCCAAAACACACATCAATGATGCCATAAAAAAGAAACTTCAGCCGTACCCAAAAATAAACATTAGGCATGCCCCAAAACACTCCAACTGTGCCCAAAACACACACATAACCTATGTAAGATGACAGTAGGGTACCCACAAGCACCTGCCTGAATAGCTACTGTGTCAAGAGGCCAGTGGTCAAGAGAGGGCAGTTTAGTAGGCACTTCAGAGTTACAAAGCAGATATTATTTCCCAGTTATATTTTCAGTTCATTACATTCGGACCTTCGTCTATTTTTTGTGTAATAGCCTAAAGCTGAGAATAAAGTAATTTGTAATATTTCAAGATCAGTTATAACGATGCAGATTGATCATGACCTCCTAAATTCAGTGCACACTACGATGCTCCAGAATGTAGTATTTCCCTTGTAAATTTATGTATATATGACCTTTATACTGTATATTATTAATAAAGATAAACAAAAATAGTTAGGCTATTTATTATGTAGCCTTGAGTCTCACAAAGATTGCTAGGCTATTTAACATGGATTCTTAAATCTCTCACAAATTGTTAGGCTATTTATTATGGATCCTTGAATCTTTACCAATATAACTACGATCGTATTGTTTTTTCTTGTGACTGAAGTGACTACAAAACGGAGAATACAGCGTTTTGATGCCAAGAATGTTTTTTGTAAGGTTGAATGTGTACAGAAGTCGTGGCAGCCAGTCTCGGACCCCGCCACACACACAAGTGGGTATTTCGGGCCCAGCTCTCCACCGCCTCCACACAACAACACCTACCAACACCACACTAATTTACATGAGATAAGATGGTTAGAATCGATGCAATCTGCTTCTGCTATTCGTGACATTTGTCCGTCGTTTGAAATAATACATTCCAAAATCTTTTTCAGATTAATTTGTGATCAAATGCTTCTCTTATCATCTTTTAAACGCACGCGCACACCCACATCAACCTGTCCTCTTAAAAAGAACGTCGCTTTTGGCCGTTTGCCCGTATGGCCGAATTTGGACGTAATTTGAAATTGAAAAAAAAATTAAAATAAATGTGGGATTTTTTTTTTTCTCCAACAGTAAGTTAAGGGTCCTGTGATAGGTTAGGTGGGCAGGAAATTCTCATAAAGTTTCAAAACGTTATGAAAAACGTTAATTTAAAGTGTCCTCTTATAACCTCTGCGCGTAAGCCGGACGACTCAAATAGAAAACGGAACAGAACGTCACTTTTGTGAGTCGATTTCATTTCAAATTACGTCCAAATTTAGCCATATCGCGCATACGAGCCAAAAGTGACGTTCTTTTTAGGAGGACGGGTTGCCCACATACGCATATATAAGCAAGTCCTATACACATACATACCATACACGTGAAGTTCTACTAGAATCAGTCGTATAGACCCTTACTGTTCTTGGTTTATATAACCGACTTGAGAAGACAAACTGCTTCTTGACGATATAACGTAAAACTGACGAAAAGAAAATAAGAATATTGACAAACGACAGCTGCAAAATCGGGCTTATGTTAGGCTTGGTTGGGTTAGTTCAGGTTGGGTATGGTTAGGTTGGTTTTAAAATCCGGTGGCGAATAGGTTAGGAGGGTTGCTTGGGTTCATATGTTTCTGGTTAAGCTAAAAGATTGGATTTTTTCTGGAGTGGCAAATTAAGAGAACAATAATGTATATTGTATAATTATCAGGGACCTGACTGGGTGGACAGCGCTTCGGATTCATTGTCCCGAGGTTCGATCTCCGGTGGAGGCGGAAACAAATGGGCAGAGTTTCATTCACCCTGATGTCTCTGTTACCTAGCAGTAAATAGGTACCTGGGAGTTAAACAGCTGCTACGGGCTGCTTCCTGGGGGTGTGTAACAAAAAGGAGGCCTGGTCGAGAACCGGGCCGCGGGGACGCTAAGCCCGAAAATCATCTCAAGATAACCATCATCCAAGAGTGACTGCCTTCAGAGCTTGTAGAGAAACTGGGCCAGGAGCACGTATTGTGTATTCAAATATTTAATGTCTCGGTGTGTACCATTCACCCAGCCCGTCCTCCTAAGGTTTTCCAACGTCAAGAAAACTGGCTCTCCTAACCTATCAGAGGATCCAAAATAGAAAACGGGACAGTACGTCACTTTCACGAACCGCTTCCATTTTCAAGAACGACTATTTTTGGCCTTTTGTAACGCATACGATCAAAATGCACTGTTCTTTGTAAGAGGACAGGTTGATTCACCAGCTTCTCTGGAATTTCCTGGCGCGTCACTTATCTCGTCCTCCCACAAACAAAATTCTTGCTGGATTGACCACCCGCCCCCACTGCTTCCCGGGCGAGAGCGAATGTACGTGGGACTTCCTTCTGAGTCCCCGTACTGGCTAGCCTCAACCTTCTGGAGGTGGCTTCCATTGCTTCTTTCAGTCCATTGATTTTATGTTTACTAGTCTCGAGACATTCGAGTGTTTTCGTATACTACTCTGACTCACTTGCAAGGCTGTCCATGTTGACCAGACCACACACTAGAAATTGAAGGGACGACGACGTTTCGGTCCGTCCTGGACCATTCTCAAGTCGATTGAGGATCGACTTGAGAATGGTCCAGGACGGACCGAAACGTCGTCGTCCCTTCAATTTCTAGTGTGTGGTCTGGTCAACATACTTCAGCCACGTTATTGTGACTCATCGCCTGCAAGGCTGTCCATGTCAACATTGTCTATTCCCCTTAATTCATGTTGTGATCAGGTTCCCTCTGGTCCTTATTTCCTTTAGAGTTGTCAAATGAAGTTCCCTTAAATTATCTTAGCAGCTTAGGTAACTTAGTTCGGGCACTATAGCCTTGCTTCATATATGTAAGCTTTTTCAGTCTTCCTTTTGTGCTCAACGAAATGCAAATTCCGTGTCATTGCTGCGTTTTCAAGAGTTGATCTGACGTAGGGTGTGTAAATTATCCTGAAAGAGACCTGCCTTGAGGTTATCTTGAGATGATTTCGGGGCTTTAGTGTTCCCGCGGCCCGGTCCTCGACCAGGCCTCCACCCCCAGGAAGCAGCCCGTGACAGCTGACTAACACCCAGTTACCTATTTTACTGCTAGGTAACAGGGGTATAGGGTGAAAGAAACTCTGCCCATTGTTTCTCGCCGGCGCCCGGGATCGAACTCGGGACCACAGGATCACAAGTCCAACGTGCTGTTCGCTCGGCCGACCGGCTCCCTTGTTTAGGTTTCTGAAGGCTGTTCAGAATTCCATAATGTTTGGAATTTCTCAGAAGCTGCTGATGTAGTCAATTATCTTTATCTGGTTGTGATACCTGTAGTTACTGGCCTCTTATGGTGTAGTTTCCTTTCGGTCTTCTTTCTCTTGTCAATTTTTATTTTCTTTCACATGCTTCGGTTGAGATTTAGCAGCCATTTGTCTTCCCACTCCTACAGGTTGTTAAGGTCTTCCTGTAGCACTCTACAGTCTTCCTCAGTTTGGACACTGTTCATTAGTTTTGCGTCGGCTGCAAGCACTAATCTTCACGAACTCACTCCTTACAGTAGATTATTCACATAGATTAGGAATAGCAACGGGCCCAGGACCGAGCCTTGAGGGACTCCGGTTGCTATATCTCTCTCTACTCCGACATGTCACACTGTCACTTCCTTTCCTGTTCGTAAAGTACTCCCGAACCCACTTTAGTGTCATTCCGGTTATCTCAGCCTGTCTCTCCATTTTAGGCACTAGCCTAAAATGTAGGGAATAGTATCAAGATTGTTATATCAATCTTGAAAAATGTAATTTATTCAGTCCCTTCTCTCCTGCTGTAACTTGGTGTCCTTGTCATGGAACTCTCTCAAGTTTGGTCGCTATGTTGTCATCTTACTGTTTCTCTGCTGATTCTTATAAACGTTTCCTTGTTGTTTGTAGATGTTGTGATACCCATCCATGCTATTCTCTGTTGTTCTTCAGTGGCCTGCATGTGTGTATCTGTATATTAAGTTTATATGTATT